TTCCTTGAAGCAGTTGGTAATACCTTACATGCTGCCAGTTTTTCTGCTTGCTTCAAAGTGGCAAAAGGCAGAAATGACAATTCAAATTGCTGCTACAGGCTTCTCCTGCTCCATGAACTTGTTTCCAGACTAGCAATGTTGGAGAGATGAAGGGAGGGAGTGGGACTAGAAGCAGTCTTTGGGACTGCCTTTTACTAGCACTAACAGAGTGCATTCAAAGATTGATGTAAAAAAATCTAGTGTCATCTCACTGTGTCGTTTTCTATCTCCCCGAATTGTATGGGTTGGGTATGCCTGCTAGAGCAATCAGGTGCTGTTGATGTGGTGAGCCTGCCTGAAGAGGGTGTTGGCAGCTGCTCTCCGTTCCTGTGGCAGGAATGTACTTAACACTATCAAAACAATGCTTATCCCATACTGTTGTGGTCTGCTGATTTCTGTTGTGCATTAAATTAATACCTGTTGCATAAGGGATATTAGACACCACTTCTACCCTTAGACCCTGTTGCTAGCCCATTTTCCTGCATGGACTTCCTTCTCTGCTTTCTTCTCACCCATTGACTTTCGTGACCCCAGACACCGCTCCTGGGAAGCTCACCTACTTGCTGACTGTTTAAAAAATTACTTTAAAAATCCTGTCCTCCATCACTACCTCTTTCAGCCCTTTAAAGACAAAACATGTAAATTTCCAAGCTGGACTAAATAATGACTCAGAGCTGGTTGACTGGGGCGCATCAAGCACGGCATTGCCAGCCGGTCGAGGGAGGTGATTGTCCCAATCTACTCTGCACTGGTGAGGCCTCACCTCCAGTACTGTGTGCAGCTTTGGGAGCCACAGCATAAAAAGGGTACAAAGCTACTGAAGAGTGTCCAGAGGAAATCCACTAAAATGGTTAAGGGTAAGCCGTATGAGGAGAGGCTGAAGTTGTTTGATTTGTTCAGCCTGGAGAAGAGGAGACTGAGACAAGATTTCATTGCAGGCTGTAACTTCCTCACAAGGGGAAGAGGAGGGGCGGGTCCTGATCTCTTCTCTCTGGTGACCAACGATAGGACCAGAGGAAATGGCAGGAAGATGTGTCAGGGCAAGTTTAGGTTGGACATTAGGAAAAGGTTCTTCACCCAGAGGGTGGTGGAGCACTGGAACCCAGGGGCTCCCCAGGGAGGTGGTCATGGCACTAAGCCTGACAACATTCAAAAAGCATTTGGACAAGGCCCTCAGACACACGGTTTGAATCTTGGGATTGTCCTGTGCTAGGCCAAGAGTTGGACTCTATGATCTTTGTGGGTCCCTTCCAACTCCCAACACTCTATGACTCTATGACTGCAGGACTCTTGACTTCTAAATCTCTTCACCATACTGGAACCAGTGTGAATTCAGGTGAGCATCTTGACTGTTTGTAATGAATTATACACTCCTTTTCCTTTTTTTACCTCTTTATGGGCGATTATCAGGAGTTGTACTGAAAGGAAATATTACCCAGCATGGCCAGCAAAGGAATTATTACCCTACATGGTCTATTTTGTGTAACTTTAGAGCTCCTGTCATCTCTTCCAAGCTCACAAAAGTGTCACACAGCATTGAACAAGAATGAGGAGAAATCTCATCTGGCTCACAGCAGTGAGGGTAGATCTGTGACAGATAAAGAAGAGAAGGAAGGGGAAAAGTGGGAAAAGGATTTGGGTGTGTGTGTGTATGTGTGTAAGCAGGATGGATGAATGGGAAAAGAGCTTCAGAGTCAGGAGGAAATAGAACAGGTGAGTCCACAGTGAAGCTATGTAACAATAATTAAACGCAGGCCCAGGAGCCATGATCTTTTTCTCTTGTTCCCAGCCTTGTTATTGACCTGCTTCATTCACTCACACAGATGCACTGGCTTTCTCAGCTTCAGTTTTTTCACCTGCAAAATGCCAACACTCTCCCAGGGATGGGATTTAGCTTTCATTTATTTCAAATGTTCTGGCTTGGTAATGAATTTGTTTTGGCTTTCTGCAGCCTGCCAGGCATCTGACTGACTGCAGTAAACAATCCTGACCCAGAAGTCCTTGCAAGGCCGTGGCGAGTTCTCAACAGACAACTCAAGTGCTGCTTTTGCCAATGTCCAAAACTGTCCCAACCAGAGTCTAGGCAGAAGCCAAGAATAGCTGCTCCTCTGCTTAATTTCCCTGACAGCCCAGATGTGACAGCCATTCTCACTTGCACCGATAAAGTCGGGTCCCAGCAAGGACAATGTGGCCATTTTCCTTTTAAAGCAGACCTGGGTAAAAGGTGGACCCATGCCTGTCTCCTGGGAGCTGTGCAGGGAGATGACAGGCTTCACACGGCCTTCACATCTTCCCTTACAGTCCTAAGAGGAGTTCCTGTTTTACCTTAATACTTTCACTTGTTACCAAAACCAGATTGCTAACATGGAAGGGTTCCCTCTACTGCTCTCACTCTTGAGATTGCTCTGTTCTTGTTAACTCAGGCTTTGCTTTCCTGTTGCAATGTGCCATGACTTGTGATGAGGGAACTATCCCTTCAGAAAAGGCTCCTGTTTTGAAAGGGCTCATTGTGACGTGCTGGGAGGACATGTCGGTCCAGAGAAGGAAGGTCACTGATTTGCCAAAGAATTTCACATGAACATTAAAAAGATCATAAACATTAAAAAATGAAAACAGAAGTTGTAATGACCTCCTTGCCCCATGCATACACAAATACAAACCTTTTCATCCAAGATTCACCAGCACACAAGTTTAAAAGCTTCCTTCTTTATTACCTAAACAGCAGGGCTGAGATGGGGAGAGGGAAGGGAAGCAGCGGTGAAACTTACCCTCTGAGATGGGGTACGCGAGTGATTTGCACAAAGAGCCACTGAGCTAAACACTCCTCCTGCTTCCCAGACTGGCAGTGTGTTGGATGCAGTTGCTGTATCCTTGGACATCTTAGGAGAAGCATGAGAAGGGTCCCTGAAGTCACTTTTCTCCATCTCTGACTGCAATTTTTTTGATTCATTCTCAATCAAGGTGCTGCCCACTCTCCTCTTGAGAGAAGGCTGCATGCTGTGTTTCTGTTTATCCTCCGCCTGGTTAAAGTCCTTGGGCTGCTTGGAAGAAGATTTTTGGGGCAGAAAGGTATGCCCCTGGCTTTGTTTTTAAAAAAAAAAATAAAAAAAAAATAAAGCACCATTTTTTTTTGCTTTTTGCTCTGTTACAATGGCAGGGGAGTTTGAGCCAAGGTCTCTGCAGTGTTTTCTTTATCTCTCTCTCTCCTTTTTTTTTTTTTTTTTTTTAATTTTCTTCAGCTCTTTTATGAGCTCTGATGTCAATCTTATGATACCAAATAAACCCAAGGACATTTCAGGTACTATTTGACAAGAATACTATTTTCAGGTACTATTTGACAAGAATTCTACTGTGTCCAATTCTGAAGCCCCCAACATAAGAAAGACATGGACCAGTTAGAACAAGTCCAGAGAAGGGCCACCAGTATGATCCGAGGGCTGGAGCACCTCTCCTATGAAGACAGGCTGAGAGAGTTGGGGCTCTTCAGCCTGAAAGAGAGAAGGCTCTGGGGAGATCTTATAGCGGCCTTCCAATACCTGAAGGGGGCCTACAAGAAAGCTGGGGAGGGACTTTTCATAAGGGCAACTAACGACAAGACAAGGGGAAATGGGTTTAAACTGAAAGAGGGCAGGTTTAGATTAGATATTAGGAAGAAGTTTTTCACTGTGAGGGTGGTCAGACCCTGGAACAGGTTGCCCAAGGAAGTTGTGGATGCCCCCTCCCTGGAAGTGTTCAAGGCCAGGCTGGATGAGGCTTTGAGCAACCTGGTCTAGTGGGGGGTGTCCCTGCTGATGGCAGGGGGGTTGGAACTGGATGATCTTTAAGGTCCCTTCCAATCCAAACCATTCTATGATTCTATGATTCTATGATTCTATGATAAGAATCTAAGGCCTAAAAAGCTAATTGTGCTGGTTTTGTCTAGGAAGAAAACCTAGCTGAAGTTCATAAGCTTGCACTCGCTGTCCTCCCAGACACCCATCATTCCACATTTATTGCATGATCTCCATTAAAAGGATTTCCTTCAGACAGGTGCACGCTGTGGGACAATGGAGGGGTAATGGAGCTTTACCTTCTGCACCTTCAGAAACAGTCCATATTACCATTATATGAGGCCTTGAACACCCTCTAAATGCATGACCTCTGACTGAATACAAGCAGGATCATAAATTTTGTAAGCTCAGCTTGTGGGGTTTATGGACTGAATCAAACCCAGAGGATTAAACTACTGATCCAATAATTAGCCTGGGATTCAATGCTGCTATTTATTATGTTAGGCAAATAAACTATTTACCGTTTAAATGAGTTTTCATGTTCTTTTTCACACCTGGGAGTCAAGTGAAACATTAAGAAACAGCTTTTGCCCATGGAGGAAAAATTGCATGAAGAGAAACAAGCAAGCCATTTGCTGTGATTTTACTAATAATCATTTCAGGTGTATAAATATAGCCAAGCCTTTGGCCACCAGAGCAGTGTTTGTGCAATAGCTCAGTTTTATTTCAACTTTTGCAGAATAGCTCTTAGGAGACTTGAGGAAAAAGATAGTTTGATATTTAAAGCTTTGACCTGAGACTCAGGAGACTTTTATTCAGAGCTTACTGCTGCCTGCAGAGATCAATATATTTCTCTCTCTATTTCTGCTCCTCATATCAGCAGTTTATAAGCTCTTTGGAGGAAAAAATTCAGATACTTGCTTGCTGTTCAAGATGATGTAGCATGAGTTTGGTGGGACCTCTAGGTGCTGCTATGAGTGCCCAGTAATGTGGGGGGAAAAAAAAAAAAGAATAAAAGAAAAAAGAAAGGAGAACAAGTGGCTGCTGGACAGTGCACAACAGGTGGTTTTCTTGGTCTTTGAGGTGGATTCTCATGTGTTCCCTGTGTGTGCCTGGGGTAGACTGGGAGCTTTGTGCTGCTGCATGCTTGTTAGCGGTTCTCTGAGATGTCTGTCAGGCCAAATGACATTGCTACTGTCTTGTAAACCAAGTCCAGCATTTCTGAGCAGTGTGTCTTATCTGAAGAAAGAAGATAACAAGTCGGGATTTAAATTCCTCCAGGACTTTGACATCTTGCTTCATGCTGGTGTAGTAGAGACTCACAGCCAGGATCAGCACTGCACAAAATGAGAGCCACAGGAGCACAGGCAATCCAGATGATGACCTGTCATCTACTGAACGGTGATGAAGAGAAAAAAGAAAGCAGCATTATCTTAGTGTCATCTTAAACACTTCCCAAATTTGACCCTCTGCTGATGCCTTTGTCCCACATTTCTGGGAACAGCAGGGTACACAGGGCTCTGATTGTGACAACTTCTGTAGGCATCAGATAAGTAATAGTGAGTCACATCTCCCGATGGAAGGTGGCGAGTATAAAATACCTCATCTAATGGAGCATTTAAAAAGTTTAATTATATACAGTAAGAACAGGATTACCATAGTTAATTCATGATCTCAACTTTCCCTTCAGCAATTATTTTTTATACCTTTAAGCTCAATATTAGGTTAAATACTAGGAGAATATTAAACTATCTCATCTAATTATTTAATGCTCACAAATGTTCCATACAAGAGAGGACATCTAGATTTCTGTCCTTTCCCTGGTAACTCATCTTGTTTGGGGCTTCTGCTAATTACAATAAGAATTGAGACGTGGCTCTATTAACCAAGAGGCACATTTAGAAAACTCCGACAGGTTTAACCTCTCTCTAAGTGCTAGGTGTGCTAATTATACTGGAACATCCTCAGCACTTGCTCTGAAGCAGGAGGACACTGTAAACATTTTTTTTTTTTTTTCCTTTGAAAGATAGTTCAAGGATGTTTAAAGTGCCACAGGTCAGGCACAGGACATGTGGAAATGAATGGGCTACATTCAGCTCACTGACACCCATTCAGGTCCTCAGAGGCTGTGGCCTTGGAGCTTTGGGAATCCAGTTTGATTCAGATCTGGCTGTCCTGTTTGACTGTGTGGCCATTGCACAATCGGTATTATTTTATAAAGCACAATGAGTATTAAACATGAAGTATAAAACCAAATTAATGTCTCAATAAAAACCTGTAGCGTGCAGCTATTTTCCTGCCATATGCACATAATCAATAAGGAAATAAAAATGTGGTGTGTATTATTATGGGTAAAGGGCCAACATTAGCTGTAACATATTTAAATTAGCTTCTACTATAAGCCCTGGAATACACAGCAGTCAATTAAACTGTCATGCAGATGTACAGAGAGGAAGGTAAAAGTCATAAAACCAAGCAAGAAACACATAATAATTTATCAAAAAGTGTATGGGGAAAGGTAAAATGTTAATAGGCAGTCATTTTATAGCTAACCAGAAACCAAATCAATGTCCCATAATAGATCTGAGTGAATTATTTGAAGCAAACAATTTATTCATTTGCATTTAGCCCTTCTTTCCATTTGCAAATTATCCATGAGCAGACTTCAATTTTTAGAAATTTGTTTATTTGGCATTATTCTGTGAATGGTTTATATGAAGGTATTTAACCAGGGAATTACTCACTACTTTCTGCTTTTGCAGAGATTTGTAACTTGGAAGTTGACATTTCCCTTGTGTGATCTCCCACACCACACGATACAGTACTGGACTGGGTGCCCACCTGTCTTTCAAAGCTTGGGGCCTGGCTGACGAGCGTACCTGGTAACAGTGAAACTCTTCTGGGAAAGCTAAACGGCTTTTCACATCAGCCCTTTTCTGTGAAGTGTTTATAACATTTTTCAGTCTCATGAAATTTACTTTCCACGTGAAATTTCTGAGTGATCTCAAATATAAACTTGGCTTTTCCTTACATCCTCAATACAGGAGTATGTTAAGTCCAGGAACAGAAAAAAAATATTGTGGAAGAATAATGCCACCCACAAAATAGTGATGAGCTATGCTGACAACAGCTTCAACATATCGCTACAAGTATGTGCTTAAATATGTTTACTCTTTTCTAAATTACAAATAGAAAATTAATGCTTAAATTTCTTAGTTAAATTGTTTGTTGGAACAGCACACTAAGCCCTAGACAAGTGCCCAGTCTAAGAAAAAGGCAACACATCTGAGCATAGCACTGGACCAGGATGTAGGAGATTTTGGCTCAGTTTCTGCCTTGGACATACATTTCTGCTGTCACCTGGGAGATATTTGGTCTTTCCTTTTCCACCTGGTTCTTTCCTGCCTATAGTACTGTGTTCCCAGCCCAATAACTGCCTTAACTGGTGCTGCCATTGACATCAGCATACAACCCCTCTTCCTGGACAATAACAACAGGTAGAGGATGTGGGGATATTTGCTTCATTTTGGCCTCCCAACACTATGGCTCTGCGTGTATGTATGTGTATACATACGTGTATACATGTGCCCCTTCCCCCTTACTGCATTGCATACAGCAACTGGATGTTGGCTGGGGACTTTAGAAATGTTCACCATCATAGCAACATCCAAATACACACATTTGCTCGAGGGTCTATCAGGCTGATTGGCCTCAAACATCCTTGCAAACAAAAAAGAAAAAAACACTATTTTTATTATTTCTACCCTGCTGTCAGCATATAAATGAATTGTCTCTTCCCCACATATGAAAGTCAGCAGGGAGAACTATTGTTTTGCTTGGGGTGCTTTCCCTGCATATCTTAGCGCAAAACCTGTACTTATTCCATTGCCATAAAATATATTAATTATATTTAAATTAAAAATAGCTTCAGGGATTTCATTTTTGTTTCCACTATTTGTCTTACTAGATGTCTTGTTTAAAATACTGCACCAGACCTCATCAACACCTTGTTCTTCATATGCTGAGAAGAAAAAGCAACAGCCACTGACAGTACAAAATCCTTTGTGTACAGAGAATATATTTGCAGAGAACATCCCAGCAGCAGCAAAGCAAACTCAGGGTAATGCCATGGATGGCTCACAGTTATAATGTGAAACTTTCACTTACCCACTACGTAGTCACAGCAGGAAATGGCTAGAAAACAGAATGAAAATGTTCTTACACACCTGGAAAGGCCTCTTTGCAGCAGATGAATAAGAAAGTAAGCACTAAGTAGTGTCTCTGAAATTGTCTGTCTCTTTATAGATGCTGGACCACCTCTTACACCACTTTTGACTGTACAGATTTATGGCAGATGAGGATTACTCACTTCATGCAAACATGCAGATGTACATGCACTTCAGGGAAGTGAGAAAAAAACTGTGTTTTTTTCAGAAACAGAGATTTCAGAAACAGAGATTGCTGCTGTTGCAGGGAGGTCAGGAGTCATCTCTTGCAAAAAAGACACAATTCCACATCACTTCTAGATGGGAAAAAAGATAGGCTAGGAGGCTGAGAGAGGAATGAAAGGTAAGAAAGTAAAGCCCACTGTGAGATGCAACTGTCATTCAACAATATTCTGGAACTACCTCCACTCGGCAGCCGGGACCCAGACACAATCTGGGATGAAAAGTCCAGAGAATGGAAAAATTTCAGTGGTGTCAACAACCTCCATTTTACGAGCCTCTCTGCTAATAATGTGTGGGAAACAGCAAAACATCCAAATCACAGGCTGTTTGCAACACAGAATACTAATTATGGATTGGGACATTTCTCATGTCTTCATGGAAAAGAATGAGAGTCTTCTCTATCCTTGCATCTCCCTGGAGCTCAAGAGTGGCTGTGCTGAATTCAGAGCTGGTGGAGGTGAACCAGGTTCCCCTGGGCTGAACTGACTGCAGGATTACCAGTGCTGATCTGGGGGCATGGGCTCTGGCAGGGAGTTGAAGGAGGTAGTACATCTCATCAAAATACTGCTCTTGAGCACTCAGATGAGTTTTGAAGAATTTAGGGATGACTCACTGAGCCTTTCCAGTTCAGTTTTTATGGGAAAGCCCAGGCCATGTCAACAACCTCATCAAGAAACAGCTTTTCACTCCTGCACTAGGAGGCACCAGAAACAACATATTACGAAACCAATGCAAGGTCTGTGTACAAACACAGTAGTGGATGCCAAGCTTTGTTTTTAGAAGCTGTGTAGCAGTCCAAACACGTGGTTGAAATAGAAATTTAACCATTCTCTCACCTGTGTTTTTGCTGACTGAGTTATCAAAACCATACAATTTCAGTTCCTTACTAATAGATACATTTTTTCTTAGTTGACTCAGTTTGTGAAAGTCAGAATGAAGTAACCGTTCTTATTTGGTTAAGAACTGTACATAGAATGTGCAGAAGTGCAAACCAGATCCTTGTGCTAGACCCCTGTTTAAGGTTACTGCCAGCTGACCTACCTGCAAACTGTTATTTTGGCTCATGAATGAAAGATCGGAGGTTATGTTAGCTGTAACATTCCTTGGGTGCCCTCACTGGCAGAGGTTATTGCATCCTGGCTGCTTTTAACCACACTGGGCCAGCCAGGCTCAGACCTTTACCATTGTATCCTGTGGCATGCATGCTGCTCAGAAACATGAAAGGGCTGGCTCCCTCTCTGCCATTACATTCTAGTTACCCAGAATGACATAAGCATACTTAAATTTGTTCTGAAATCCTTTTCTATGAGTGGAAGCATTGTTCTGGGGTAGACCTGGGGCTCAGCCAAACCCATGATCTACAGTGATCCCTGTGGGGGTTGACACAGGAGTACACCACAAGAACAGCCCTGAGGCTGCTCCAACATGACGCAGCAGCCTACCTCCTCCCAGGAGGACCTGATGTAATTCTGCAGAGCACAGCACAAAAAGTGTCTGTCCTCTGCTCTGTGCTGAGCTCAAAATCACAAATAGCATTATCAGAGAGGGAGGCTGATGTGGACAGACAGAGTGAATGTTAAAAAGCTATAAAGGTCATGCCAAAAGGCTTAATAGCTTAAGCGTACCATGTTCAATGACTTCTTCTGGCTCACGAAATCGAACCCTTCTCTCTGCTTTCCGCTTTTCCCCCACAGCTTGGTCCACAGGTGGCCTTTTCCTCAGTATTGAAGGAGGATAGCTACTGTCATCTGTCTAAAGAGTTAATCGAAACACAAAACACATGGCTATTCAAACTGGAGTAATGCATCTGGGCAAATGCATCTTGGAGCTTTTGTGGCTATGTTACCATGTCCCTCAAAGGACATGATAAGAAACACATGTTTTGATATTTACAATCAGATCACTGTAATATTTATAGTAAGACAGTATGGATATTCCTTCATTGTCATAGATCTGCTGTACTCTAAAGTCATCTTCTCAAGAAAGAGGTTGGTCAAAGCAATGGACAGCAAAGTGTTCAGAAAGGATTTCTCTAAATTGGAGTGAACAGTTAATGAAGGTGGCTGCTCAACAGCCCTGAGGTAGATGGACATAAATATGGTGTGAAATATATGAACCATATAATTGGGAGCACCTTTAAAATGTTCTTCTGAGCTAAGCAGCTCCATTCTGAATGTATTGTCGTTTCAACAACTGAAACTATGCAGCAGTCTCAGGTTTGGACACTATCCTGAAGGGTAGGAGAAGGTAATTTTTTTGCACTTTGATATCACAGTTATATTGTTGCTCTGTTTTTTGCTTGGAAGTCACACTCACTCTTTGATAATGGAATCAGATTGCTGTGGATTCTACCAAATGACAAGAAACAGAACCGCAGTAATAGCAGTAAGTCCCTTTTCTGCATAGGAATGGTCCCACAGTCAACTCCCCAAAGTCAATCCAAAGCATCTTGGTTCAGAGACACCCACTGTCCTCTGAAAGTGGAGAGCAGAGGGCAAATTTTCCACTTTTCAAAGACCTAAGTGAGTGGCAGAAATTCTCCACATTTTATTTTTACTTTAAGATCAAAGTCATCTTCTCTACCTCTTTCTCCCCCTTTCCTCCATTCCTCTGATAGGTAAAGGGTATTATTTCTTAGATAGTTTGCTCCTTCTGGTCACTTTCCCTGCTCCTTTTTTTCCTCTTATGTGTCATTTCCCCACTCAGTGGTTGCAGACTCCTTCCTCCCTTTTTTTCTTCCTGCTTTAATCTTTCTACTCCTCAGTACCTGCTACTTTTGCCCATTTTTAGACTCAAATACCCTTGCTCCACACTTTTTCTCTTTGGCTGCTTTACCCACAGTTCCATTTCACCCACTCCTTGGGCTAGAGAGGCAGGATTAAGTCCCGTTAACAACAGCCTGGGGGTGTCAGGCCCCAGAG